CTGCTGGATTCAGGTGATCCTTCCACCTCAGCCTTCCAAGTAGCTGGAACTACAGGCACATGCCACCACACCCGTCTGATTTTTTTATTTATTGTAGGGATGAGGTCTCACCAAGTTTCCCAGGCTGGTCTCGAACCTGTGAGTTCAGGCAATCCTCTCACCAAATTGCTGGGATTATAGATGTGAGCCACCCCGCCCAGCCAGACTAGATCTTATCATATGAACAGGGGCTTGGGTGTCAGGAAAGGCATCTGTGTAGAAGCCACCTATTACGAAGTGGAAATAGCACATGTGAAGGCACTAGTTTACTGACAGGTTCAGAGATCTGTGAAAAGTTGTAGTGGTTAAAGGTCTGTGGTGGTTTGGGTAGGCAGTAGCCACAGCTGAAAACTGCTGTTTCAGAGGTCCAGATTGGCTGCTTCTGGAAACATGCACTGGTGCTCACTCTAGGTGGGTTTAGCTAGCCCCTACTGTCTAAGAAAATCTATCTGCTGCTTGAGACCACTGGTCCCTTTGCCCAGGCCTGAGCATGTGTGCTTTTTTTTTACTTATGAACTTGGCTTGGGCCTCTCATGCTCATCAGCTGCTGTGCAGACTAGACTCTGCAAAGATTTGATAGAGCCTGGCATGGCCAACCACGTGCAGCCTGGATCTGCTATTTGGTTGTCCTCATGGTAGCCTGCCTGGAAGGGGAAGTGGTCAACTTATCCCTGAGCAGCCAAGGTGGCTCTGATCTGAGTGAAGTGGACAAGAGGCTCTCCTTTTAGCTCCTTTGTTTATTGATGGACTCTCATTCCTCTGTTTGCCAAGGAGCACTTGCTAGACACAGGAGGATCAAGCCAGACCTCAGACTGTTTTGTGACTGGGGAAACTTGTTATGTTCCTGAATGTGGAGCTCTAGTCTCCTTGCCACCTGTGGATTTTGGCAGTGGTGTCTGAGGCTATGGTAGTATTTGAAACCCAGCCAGTACAAACAACTGAAATGCTGTCTTTCCCTACTCCACACCCTACCCCACAGTTTCTCACCTTTTTGTTCAGCTCCATCATGTCTATTCCTCCTGAATTTACCTGCCCAAGGTAACTTGTTCAGAGCCATTTCTGCATGGGCTAGGGCTCTTTCATATCTTATTAGTGTTCTTCCATGTCTTAGGAGCCTTTCTTTCTAAACCCTGCCACTACCTTGACCTAGACCCTAGTCTTTCATCCAGATTTTCAACTATTCTGCCTGCTATCTTAGAGTAGTCAACTCACTGGCCAGGCTAACCATGTCATCTTCCCCATTAAAACTCTTTTGTGACTCATTCCCTCAGGGAGAGTCTAAGCAGCATCATACATGAGGCCTGTGCAGCCCTGTTTTCCCTACGTCCTCCCTATATCTATGTGTTCTGACCACAATGGCTGTGATGGCACCTCCTCTAGGAAGTCTTTCCTGACCCTCCCTATACTGTCTATCAGAGTACATAGAGTTCCTCTGTGCTGACCCAAGCCTGACTATTAACTGGTCTCAGAGGCTCCTTGATGGCTTCTACCTCTTCCCCAGGTAGAAGAGCCTCATGCTCATCCTTAGTTCTGCATACATCAGTGTTTATGGAACAAGAGATAACTTTGGGCCAGGTTTGGTAGCTCAGCCTGTAATTCCAGCACTTTGGGAGGCTGAGGTGAGTGAATTGCCTGAGCCCGTGGGTTCGAGACCCGCCTGGGCAACTTGGTGAGACCTCATCTCTACAATAAATCAAAAATTAGCCAGGCGTGGTAGCGCACGCCTGTAATTCCGGCTACTTGGAAGGCTGAGGTGGAAGGATCGCCAGAGCCCCGCAGTCTGGGCGACATAGTGAGACTCCAACTCAAAAAAAGAGATAACTTTGCAAGAAGAAAGGCTAATGGACAGGTGGAGCAACCTTGTCAGGTGGTTCTCTCTGTCCCCAGGCCCCAGTGCAGACAGCCCACGGCCATCCAATGCCTACAATGGGGATCTCAATGGGCTCCTGGTCCCAGACCCACTCTGCTCAGGTGATGGTACCTCAACAAGCAAGGTCAATCTCCGGACCATGCCACCCATTAACCTGCAGGAGAAGCAGGTCATGTGAGTACTTGGGAGGTGGCAGTGGTACTGATAGTGTCTTTGCAGCATCTGCTAGATGAAGGCATAAAATGAGGGTGTAGTGAGAGGGACCAGCAGTCTCTGCTGCTCCCCCTCTAGATGACCTGGGGTGGAGCACTTAACCATATTGAGCTTGCACTAGGATGAGAGGCAAGGACAAACATGAGGGTTTGGCCTGGATGCCTGGTTTAGAATGAAAGTAGGCTCATTCTCAAGGAGGGAGGTGGAGGTGAACAAGGGGAGCTGTGGGTCTGGGCCAGTGAACCAGGCAAAGTTGGGCATCTAGGACTATACAGTTTCACTAGGGTGGCAGGGTTCTCTCCTCTCAACCTTGCTTATTGAGACTTTGGGTGACCCCTCCCCTTAGCTGCCTCTCAGGAGATGACAGCTCTACCTGCATTGGGATTTTGGCCAAGGAGGTGGAGATTGTGGCCAGCAGTGACTCTAGCATTTCGAGCAAGGCCCGGGGGAGCAACAAGGTGGGTACCAGGATGCTGTGGCATGTATAATGTATAGGGGCACACCCAACCTTTTCTGTATACTCTATGCTGCTCGTTCTTATTGGGAATCACCTTGACAAACAGGTAGTATGCCCGTTTCAAGAAGCCAGGGTTGGATACCAAGCCTCTGTGAGAATCTGGCCCCTGGAGGTATCAGTGGGTAGCTGGGCTTGCACCTATGTCTTCTCCCATCCCCAGGGATGCTGGAGACTACCTAGGCTCTGGGGAAGCTGCCCCAACCCTCAGCTTCTATGACCCTCCTCACCCTGGGTTCTCAGGTGAAAATCCAGCCTGTCGCCAAGTATGATTGGGAGCAGAAGTACTACTATGGCAACCTGATTGCTGTGTCTAACTCTTTCTTGGCCTACGCCATTCGGGGTGAGTTGGGACAGGCGGGGAGGAGGGAAGTGTTCTACTAGAAGTCCCTTACTAGAAGTC